TCTCTCTCTCTCTCTCTCTCTCTCTCTCTCTCTCTCTCTCTCTCTCTCACACACACACACACACACACACACACACACACACACACATACACACACACACACACACATTTGAGTGTACACACTTGCTTAGCACAGATCCCTGCATGGCTAGACTAGGTTAAACCTGATGCACATTTGCAATGGATTGGGTTTCTGCGAGTCTGGCCCAATCACGGCCGGGAAGGGGAGCCTCACAGCCTAGCCTGTCCATGGCCATCTCTTGAGAAATACGAGAGCGCTGAACATGCGTGGATGGTGCCCTTCTCATTTGTCTTTGCCACACTTATCACAATGCAGATGGGCTTGACCGAGTCCTTGTGCAAGCCCGGGTTCGATTCCTGGTTTAAAATGATCTGACTCCTTCCCGAAGTCCAGGTCCAAATCCTGATCGGATTCCTTACCTGATTCATGGTCCAATCCAACAGCAGATCTCTGCTAATTTGGGCTGCATTTCAATGGGTTGTGTTCCTCTCCAAAGACATCCGCCAGTTTTTTGTGATTGCAGATGTGAATGGAATTGTACAGTGGTGGAGTCAGGCGAGTGTCGAATGGAGGTATGGTTTTGGCAAGGTTAATAGGTCTGATGATTGCCTTTGAATTTGGCATCAAGTAATTTTGAAGCTCTTAAACCACCAGTCCATCACCCCCTGTACTGTTCATTTTTTTTGTCGACAAGTACCAGACCAAAATCTACAGTGATCAGGCATGGAGGAGGCTTGGTGGGGGTGGGGCTGGCGGGCCCACAATCGAAAGAGAGTGCCACTGTGTGACAGCCACACCGCACTAGGCACACTGTGCAAGCTTTTGGATGCCTCGTCGTTTCCGTGAAAAACGCCCTCCCAGCTCAGCAGGGCGGACTGCTGTTCCTCAGTTGGTACACCCAAGAAATGTTGAAATGCAGACCGGAGTTCAAGTCCATCTGCCATAAGATTATTTATTGACTTTCTGGGCGTTTTGGCTAGGGAAGTCCAATCATGACACCTCAAGGCCGTGGCCCTTTCTAAAGAAAAAGGAAGGAAAAAAAATATCAACAGAAAAAAGAAAAAAAAAACTGCATGCCAACTCAGCAGGGCGGACAGCTGCATTCGAAACAAAGCGAAGGAAAGAGCCTACACACATAGATCAGGGCAGACTCACAGTAGGAATGTATCTGACTGAAATTACGGTCAGACCTGGATGAATCTGACTGCGATCACGTCCAGAGCTTAGTAGAACAAGAGTTCGAGTATGCCCTCAGTTGGTACACCGACGAACTCTTGAACAGCCCTAAGTTTGAATCCACATCCCATGGACATAATTCGGAAAGACCTGTTGCTCTCACTGATGATACCTCGTTTTTTTTTTGTTTTTTTTTTCCCAATGATGATACCTCAAGAACGTGGCCCTGTAAAAGCAAAGAAAAAGAAATGCAACCCCACAAAAAAAGCAGACAAACAGAAAATTCGAAAAAAAAATAGCCTCCGATGGACTGGTGGTTTAATACATCATGGATTTTGATCTCTTAGAAAAGGGTCAACCTGCTTGTGTATGCAAGCAAGGGATAACCTTATCTAAGGGTAGGCCTCGACGGGCTAGGATTGTGGTTGTCTGCAGCATGAACGAAACCAGGTTTTTGCCAGATCACAAACAGAGTGCAATCCTAATGATAACACTCATTCTTGTACATCCTGTGATAACACTTGAGGACGGAATCCTTAGGATAATGCTCTCCTTCTCTTTGAATTTGCACAACTCTGCCTGTATCGGGCAGCCGGCCTCATTACTCGGTCTTCCTCAACTTTGGAAGTCATAATCCCAGGTGCTTGCATCCACACCTCGCTATGATCCTTATGATCCTGTATATCTTTATATGAAAAACTCAAAAAGAGACAATGATATTCAATTGCTACTCAAATGAAATAGATTCAAAAGAGAAACAGACAAGGGGAAGAATGGAGAACAGAAGAAGAAGAAGATGATGAACACAAGCTGGAGCCAGTTTCACTCCTCCCTCATCTCATCATCTCTCTTCCCCCATCATTTCCACCAACGTCTTATTAACAATAACGAACAATAACAATGAGTGAATGAGCCAGAACCAAATGTCCAAATCTCCTCCCTACTGCCGTCATCCCAAGAAGTCCACCTCAGGCCTCCTACACCTCCTTCTGAGCATCCGGCTATGGCAGTTCATGCAGGCCTAGCCCGGATGTTCAAAGGACAATGCAAAGCACTTACGACTCCTCCCTCTTCTATCACCAAGCCCACATCACCATCCCGAGTACCCCATACATCAGAACCCCAACCAGCGGCCTTCCACGTGCAGCACCAACCAAGGAGATGAAGATGCAGTCCACCATAGGCCTTCTCCTTCACTCTCCTCCTCCTCCATCCTTCTTCCTTCCTCGCTTCTCTGCCAAAGCCATGCCCTCTCCTACCTTGCCTTCTTGCTAAACACCATAGCCTCGGTGGGTGGCAGCTCGCAGCCTTGCTGCTGCTGCTTTGTGCTTCACTCCCCAGCTCAAGGTCTAGCAGCATTGCTGTGTTATGTGCTCGATTGATTCACAACTCAAAAACGTATTCAAATGTTCCCATACACATCTGCAATGACAGGCAGACTGGAGAGAGCAGATTCACACCATAGCCATGGAGAGATATTGCACAGCGGAAGCCAAAATCAGATATAAAAATTGAGAGAAAAATGTTTCAAATTTCAATCAATTATTTAATATTTATTACACCCCCTGCTCTCCTCCTCTCAACCGAAAAACTCCAAGAATCTCAACTACGAAATCTGTTCCACCTCCAATTAACCCCCAACAGTACACTTCAACGAGGTTTCAGTTAAATTTCCCCTTCTCCCTATGACCCCCAGCCTCCAATGATAGCCCACTGTTGAAAACAGCATCCCATCATGCCCCGAGCCTGTGAGTACAGGCGCTGATCTGGCATGAGCCAGATAAGTCGCAGCGCCGCAAACCACTGTGAAGAAGAAGGTGAAGATGATGGTTGCCCTGGTATGGCAGCAACCAACAACAAGCCGCTGGATGAACAGCAGCATCCTTCAACCCCCCAAAACAGCAACACGATGGAAGTGGCATCAGCAACTAGAAGACCTACTACAGGTGCTGCCTCCTCAACCACTAGGGCGCCTCAGCTATGGCTTCCCAAGTTCCCCCTTCCAAGAGGAAGAAGACTGAGCGCTGGAAATATTGCAGCTCACGTACTCCCGTCGCCACTTCCAGGAAAATGAGAAAAGAGCCCGAAACTTGTTGGCCTCTGCCTACTTCTACCCGACTTCCCTAGACCTACAACACAGCAGTCACCTACAAACCTATCTGACTGTCCAAACAGCACACATCTACGGCCAAACAGTCAAGATCTGCCTACCTGCATCTATTTATCTATCTATCTAAGGGGACCCAAAACTACGACACACACAAGGGAGACCTACGGGCCTACCAGTTTCCAGAAGACCAGAAGAAGACAAAACAGCAAGGCTGAAAGGCCTAAGACTGCCAATTAGAGATACTAGCGACAGGTTCACAGGTCAAGCCCAGTAGGACTCAAAGCTAGTAAATAACACATACAAACTGTAGGTCCCGGGATAAAGTCCCGCAGGGCTCAGACCAGGGGAACAGCAGACAAACTTAGTTTACAGCCCGCGTGAGCAACTGCAATTCATTGCATTCCCACCCTCCCGGGGAGCGAGGACTCCGAGCTAGGAGTGTCCACGAGGAGTCCGTCTGAGCAATTGCACTTTCTGTCCGTCCTTGTAGAAACGCACGGCTGAATTTGCAGACTTGAGAAGTTCCTTCTTTGTAAACCAACGATCCTCTATGTGAGGTTGGAAGAAGAACTTCACAAGGTATTCGCAGTTGGGGCCTGTGGCCCACTGATCCTTTATGCTCTCAACTTCATATCCCTTTCGAGGGATAGGAGGTCCAAACTGCGGTGGCCTATCAGGAAATGCATCAGCAGGAGTGAAAGGCAGCAGTTTTGAGGTATGGAAGACCGGATAGGTCTTGATATGAGGGGGTACAGCAAGCACATAGGAGGGTCCAAATGGATCCGCCCCCACTGTATCAAGCACCTTCCATGGGCCAAAGTAAACAGACAACAACTTTCTTGATATGTCCTCTTCGTCAGTCTTTTCACCCAGACCCAGTGACCTGGCCGTATGGTAGAGGGAGAGCGGTGCCTATTAGCCTGATCGATCATCCTCTTGTGGGCCTTGTATATGTTAGTTCTCGCTTTCTCTAGATCTCTCTCATAACACTTGGTGATCTTCAGTCCCAAGAGTCAGTCTAGGCTCAGCCTTGTTAACAAGATCATCAACAGGCTTTTGGATCTATGGGAAAGTGCAGCCTATAGGGTGTAAAGCATGTAGTGTTGTCAACAAACGTGTTATACATTAGTTGTGCCCTGGACAAATGTTTGTCCCAATCCTGCTAATGAGGTGTGATCATAGAACGCAGCAGCTGAAAGAACAATTGGTTTATCATTTCAGCCTGTCCATTGGCTTCAGGATGCCGACGAGACGTCAGGTCTTATCTTGGAATGAAGGTAGTCTTTGAAGAAAAACTGCCACTCATTGCTGCAAAATTTGGGGTCTCTGTCGCTGATAATGAAGGTTGGGCACCGATGGACATTTCAAACAGCTCTTTGACCAGAGGTACTCTGGCCTCAGCGGGTAAGGGAATAAACTCAACAAACTTAGAAAAATGGTCAACACAGACGATTCCCTTCTCATGACACGTGGAGTAGTCTTGCCCAGATCTGTGTAGTCAATGGACAAAGA